TTCATTCGATATTGGGAGGAAATTCACGTGACCCAAAAAAATTCCTATTTCATCTAAAATTTCTATATACATAGAACATAATGTATCGTCCAAAACTTCCAAAAATTGAAATTTTGAAATCAATTCTCAAAGTTCCCATTTTTTCCACACATTTCAAATACAATTTCAACTAACCCGAATACATCAATGTATTTTCAACTGAAACTGTAACCGCCGCTTTCATCCTCTCAAAATAATATTTCATCAAAGGAAAAAAAAAAAAAAAAAAAAAAANAAAAAAAAAAAAAAAAAAAAAAAAAAAAAAATACTCCATTTTAACTCATCACGTTCACATTTTCGCATAAAATTTCATCGAAAACCAAACTTCTCGTTGATTTCAATAACACGACTCATTAATTAAACTCACTCGAATCGCGCGAAGAGTTTTTACATCCAATCGTAGATATAAAATTATCCGATCATCGACGTCCACCGACCAGCCAAAGCACTCCTCTTCCACCATTCATCGTTGAAAACGAAGCTTGAAAACACTTCTGGCTCAGCAAATATAAACCCTCCATTGCTCGAATCATTGCGATTCTTCCTTCCTCGCCAAATATTCTCCTGTCGATTCGCTTTAATCCGCGAAATCTTGGAAATGGCGGGACGCAAGGGGATAAACCCTCCTCCTTCTCGGCTATTTGTCGGAGCAAACTTCGAAGACGCGGATCAGATTTAACGTTGGCGTTACGGGGCGAGCCTCCGCGCTGTCTTTCGAGATTTCGAAGCGTTCGCTCGAAGCTGCTACGATCCGCGAGTTTCGCCGAGCTGCGCTCTCGAGCTGGCCCATAAAACCTCGTAAAACGTATTTCGCTACGGCAGCAGAAAGGAATTGACCCGGGCGCGGAGTCCTCGTCATTACGGTCCAAGTCCTTCCGGAAACTACTTCCGGGTCTCGAAAAATTTCGTCGAAACCGTTCTTGTCCTGCCTTTAACGGCCAAACTTCTTCCTCCCTTTCCTCGTTTATGCACCCTGACTCGTCTCCCTTCCATCCTTTTTTCCATTTCTTATTCCATCTCCTTTTCACCGATAACGGTTGGAAAATTTTTTGAGAAGCGTATAACGATGGGGGATTAGAAGGCTCTCTTAGAAGGATCCTTTGGGTGTCGCGAAAAAGGCTCTTTTCGTGTGAAAATTCTGAGTAATTTCTTTTTACTCGAAACGTAATTTTGAAATTTTTCAAGTTTTTCTCCTCTCCCTTTTTTTTGAGGAAAGTTGATGGTGAGGATTCTGGTAAATTTTTATTCAAATTTCACATCGTTAAGGTGAGATCATACGGGACAATTTAACAAATTATAAGCTTATAAGATTGAAAAGATTGATTTACAATTGAAGAATTTTTAACCTCTTTGCATCCGTGTTACAAATGATAAATAATTTATAATTTACTAAGAAAATACATATTTGTTTGTTGCAATAATGATACAACTAACAAATTATAACTTTCGTATCTCTATAAGAGATTTCAATTGGAAATGGAATTTGAATTTCGCCAATGAAAAGAAACAAACAATACTCTTCGTACCAATAATTCAAAAATTGAGTAAATTCTGAATTACATCTCCAATATTCCATCAAACGTCGTCAATTTCACAATTTTCGAATGACAAATTTTAAAGTTTGGACGTTAGACTATTAAAATAATAGAAATAAAAGAAGAAAAGTAGAAGTAATAATCTCGACTCAAAAATCGATGTGAATAGGTTAAACGTAGGAAATCGAGCGGAGAACGGAACGAACGTTCGTATCATAATGGAGGTATAGCGATATCGTATTGGGAAATTTTTTTGGATGGAAAGCACTGTGAACGTGTCGATAATGGATAACGAGGTATTGCATTGATATCGAACGATCGATATCGCAATGGCTCCTTTAAATATATATATATATATATAACCGTCGAAATACCAGAAATGCGTGTATCGTCGAATCCGTGAAAAGGCAATCGTGGTTGAGCGTGGTTAATTATTTGCGGATAGAAGGAAAAAGGGCTGCCTATACGAAATATTCCATAACGTGGATCCGCATGAAATAGACAATGTTCGCGATATAATTGCAGTTACGTTTGCTATAATTGCAATTACTAACTCATTAACGGGAATATTTAATATTATGTACAGATCTAGTTAGTACAATATAACATTGTTTAATTAAATAATCTGAATAAGAATATAATAAAAATCGAGGCGAATATTGTTCTATCGTGTTCGTAATTGAGCCTCGATAAAATAATCGACATTTTCGATTCAACGAATATGAAGTGAGCAACGAATGATTTAAAGTTTTATTCCAAAAATATTTTTAGAAGATGTAATCTTTTGATACTCAATCATTTATTTAAAGAAACTGATTTTATATATAATCAGAGAGATAAAGAGAGATATAAAGATAAAATATATATAAAGAAACTGAATATAGAAATATATAAATTTATATTATATTAATTATATTATAGAAATAAGAAATATATAAAGAAACTTATATAAGATTATATAAAGAAAGAGGTAGTATTCCCCATTGTAATTAATTAGGTAAGAAAAAAAGAACTTTTTCTCAAATAATTTGTAAAAAGTTTGGTTGAAATTCATTTAATATTTAGACTGCTGAAACACGAACAAGATATGAAACAAGAAACTTTGTGATTCCAGATCTATGAAAATAGATGTATTCGAGTATGGATCTTTAAAGGAGATTGCAAATGAATGGTTACAAGGATCCAGTAGTCTCTAGAGTTTTCGGGAATGTTGGCTGGGTTTCAGTGGTCTTCAGGGTTTCCGGAGGATATTCGAGATCTCGATAGTTTGCGGTGATTTCAGTGTTCCAAGAGTTACAGGAGTCTAGACGTTTCGAAGTATCGAAGATATCGAAACTCTTGAAGATCTATGAGATCCTTCGGTTATCCATAAGATACAGAACTTTAAAAGTTCCAAAAAAAAAAAAAAAAAAAATCCCAAAAATTGTGAAACAAATTGTCAAAATCTCGAAAAATATGATATTAATAATTTTCAGAAATTATAATTCTTTTGAAATTGTTTGACGAGTCAGAACTCTTTAGAATTTTCTGAAATATTTCTTTGGAATCTTCAAACGTTATCTTACATTTCTCGAATCTTTTATAACTATCTCAACTATCTCAAAGTTTACATTTAATTACACTTTATCAAACATCGTCGTGCACTTTTCAAATTTTTCACGACTCTTTGCAATCATCAGCAAAAATTCAAAAAGCATTCTTCGTAATCAATTACATCTCTCGTTACTTGGTCCAGACGAATGTTTAATTCTTCTCACTATTCTTCACTCGATCATCGAGTGATAGTGACGAGATCTTAACAGATTCTCAACAGTAACTTCACCCTTTCCCTCGTCTGTCACCGTTTCCCCTTAGCCTATCCAACACAGGAACGCAAAAGTGCAAGGTTAGGCTAATTGAGCGGGGACTCGATTACGAGTCAGTCTCCCTCTATGTGTTTCTCCAGGCGACACACGTACCACAGAGACCACCGAGAGGCTGACTGGTCGACCAGCAGCGTGCCAAGCAAAAGGAACGATCGAATCGCTCGTGGTTTTACCCAACGTGAGTCGATCAACTTCCCTTTTGCTCCTTCCATTTTCACCCTCGTTCGCTTACGGAATTATACGATAGTTGAAAATTTTACTCTGACCAATATTTCTCAAATCTCCACATAATATTTGGTGGATGGATGATATTTATTTTTATTTTTGAATTTAATTTGGAACATAGTCGCGACATCTGCATTGCTATTAATTATAGCACTTTTCTATTACAATATAGTGAAGTATAGATAGATTATATAATCCGATTCTTTCCAATAAATGGAATATTTTGTGATGGAAATTTTTTATATTTATTCATTTCAATGTATAGACGAGTGGAATAATAGAAAATTTATCGCATCTTCAAAGTTAAAAAAATGACGTTTAAAAATAAATATTGGTAATTTATAATAGTGTATAATAGCGTATAATATAATTTATCATAAATCTGGTTAAATAGATTTTTTTAATATTTCATTTAATATTGAAACACGTCATATTTATTTTATTACATTTTTGTGTAATTATGAAAGACGAAGTAGAGTTTATTTAATCATAATGAAAATTGAAAATTGTTCAATGGTTTATGGCATATACTCGTTCAAGCAAAAACGAAATTGGAAAGAAAACGATAACGATTTTGGGAAAGCGAGGCGTGCGTGTCGCGAGGAATAAAAAAGGAGAGATGAGATATATCTTTCGGGGAGATTGATGACTGGCACGATCGACGGTGCCTAGATGAATGTAGATATTTTGTATTGTAATGTATATTGAGCTACTCGTGCTATTTATTTCGAAAAGAGCCGGATACCTTGCCGCTTTGACGACATGATTTATTATAGTTCCGTGAAGGATGCTCGATTATCGATAGACCATTAAGATCTTTCCTATCCCTTACAACGTTTTCGAGTAGTTTATAGTTTGTAGTAATTTTAATACGACTAACGATATTCACTTTGATAATTCTATCATAATAATTCACTTCCACTTCGTATCTCAGAAATTTTCATCATCACGAGATAAATATGTTTAAAGGATTAATTATGACAATTAATTTCTGCTGAAATATTTCGTTTGTATTCACCATTTATCTAAATTGACAATTTTCTTTCATTTTTTTCCCCCTCCCCTTTCCTCGACAATTTTTAATTCCACCACGTGCATTACGACGCGTGAAAAGTATCGATTCTTGTGATCTAATTTTCCATCTCAAATTACTAATCCTTGACGCGTAAACATTCGAGCGATTTTCGCTCCAAAAAGAACAGAAGAGAAGAGAAAGAAAGAAGGAGAGCAAGCAATATTCAGAAAGTAGTCAGAAATCGAAGAAAGTAATTTTACCGAGCTCGGCCCGAAAGTGTATAAACTTGGAAGTAAATTTTTTGCCCTTATGTGTTTCCAGGCGATTGCCACGAGCTTCCATGAAGACACCGCACCTAGGCGACCATGAAGACTGATTGCCTGCCAATAATTGCCAAGTTGTGCGCGCTACTGACACTGTTCGGGCCCAGTCGCGATGTTCGAGCACTCGATATACGTGAGTAGATCACACCTTTTATCTCTCTCTCTCTCTCTCTCTCTCTCTCTCTCTTTCTCTTCTTTCTTTTTCGTTAATCTTTATTCCCCAAAAAATTGCTCTCAAGCGCATTTCGCCTCATGATTCGAGCACACGCTACTACTACCACTACCATTACAGGCCGCCCATTATTAATTAGACAAATTCCGCACGAGCACGAGAATAGCCCGTTATCCAGAATAGCCCCTCCCATCCGTGTTTTATTCAAGTTTCAATCATTTGCCCGCAGCCACATATATACATGTACAGTTGGGGAATTTTAATAGACCATGAATATGAAAGCGGGCGCCGCGCATGGATACAAATTTCATTTTAAACGACACGGCCCTCCTCGCGTGGTGTCGCATTATCTTTGACAATATCTGTTAGGCGTCGTGAAATTTGATACCGGATTCAATTATTACGCCAGATTTGCGCAACTCGCTGGGGATAGGGGGGGGGGGCGTGGAAGGGGAAGAAGGATATATCGATGTTGAATTTGATCAATTGGGTAACACACGATGAAATTCGAGGATGATTGACAAGCTGTGTTAATTGATCCAGAGATTACATATCGTTCAAGAATAACGTTTCCTTAATTTTCTGACAATGGGAATTATCGATTAATCGAATCGTATATAATATGATGTAAACTCAAACGAGTGTGCGTATCATTCAACGGAATTTTCATTTCGATATTTATGGAAATTATAAGTGATTATCGAGTATATATTACTATTCAAAAGTTTGAAACCAATTGATATATCGTTTTGATGTATGCAACGGTATATAATTGTCAAACACCTGTCAATTATATAGGTGTTTGAATTGTTGATTTCTTTCGTGAGAAATATTTCTTATAAGTGGAATTGAGAGAATTGGAATTTCAAAAATGAAACTCCATGAGAATTAATATTACAGTGATTCCAAACATAACTTTTACGTCAAGAATATGTTTTTTTGTCATGTCCTATAGGAAGATATGAAAATAAATAAACATATAATTACATTGGATAATTGTTAATCACGTGGCGCTAGTGTCGCCATCAGTCGCCATATTACATCGGAACTACGATATATTTATTATAAACCTTAATACTCCCTTCACAACCTGCTCGAAAACGAGAGCTCTCAAGAAAACCCTACAAAAGATGCACAAATTTTCCTACCACGAAATTTTTTCCATGGAAAACCAATTCTCCATTCCAAGGTTCCAAGATTAACCTCGTTCATCTTTCAGCCTTGCCGAACCTTCGACAAAATTTTTCATCGAAACCGGAGTTTTTATTTTCCTCGTGGCCAATTGGAACCAGGCGCCATCACGGGGTCGAAAGTAACGACTCGCCATTCCCTCCACCAGCCCCGGGGATCAATTATTTTGAATCTAATGCGACAGGATAAATTGCATCCCGCGGAAAGACGCCTCTCGCAACCCTCCTCCTCCTCCTCCTCCTCCTCCCTTTCTGATCCTCGTTCCTCGCATCGACGATGGCCGACCATTTTATGCCGTGAGGCAGGGATAGCAGTAGACCTCCTAGTCTTCGGAAAACAACCTCCTCGTTACTCGATCCCCCCATCCCACGCCACTCGACAAATTGCCAATAAGCAAGTTCCATCGATTGCACTGTCGCAAGTTCTATGTATATTAAATGTCCCGGGGTTCGGTACGTACGAGCCACCCTCGTGGGAAAACCTCGACGTGGCTTTTTAAAAGGAGAGGGATGATTTATCGTCGGCGAGCAATATGGCGTGTCGTTCAAAATTGAGATTTGGAGATTCTTATCGTGTGTTTATATATATATATTTTTTGGAGATGATTCTTTGGGATTCTCGAGGAGAATTACTCGATTGCAAAGATTATTTTATACACGAGTCATGGAAAAATATAAATTAGTAATGTTGCTGAAAAAAGATTGAACTGATCGGAATTTTATCTTCTTTGACAAAGTTACTATCCCTCGTGGATCCTTCATAATTGAAATTGGCAACCAATTTTAAAAAATATTTCTAAAAAGTATCGAATTAACACTTAATAATATAATTTTATATTTTTGGGGATGATTTTTAGGATTCTCAAGAAGAATTACTAAATGGCAAGGATTATTTTATACACGAATCGTGGAAAAGAAATATAAATTAGTAACGTTGCTGAAAAGAGATTGAACTGATCGGAATTTTATCTTCTTTGACAAAGTTACTATCCCTCGTGGATCCTTCACAATTGAAATTGGCAACCAAGTTAATTCTAAAAAGTATTTCTAAAATGTATCGATTTAACAAAATAATTCTATATTTTGGGGATGATTTTTAGAATTCTCAAGAAGAATTACTAAATGGCAAGAATTATTTTATACACGAATCGTGGAAAAAAAATATAAATTAGTAACGTTGCTGAGAAGAGATTGAACTGATCGGAATTTTATCTTCTTTGACAAAGTTACTATCGTGCATCTTTCACAATTGAAATTGGCAACCAAGTTAATTCTAAAAAGTATTTCTAAAAAGTATCGAATTAATAAAATAATTCTATATTTTGGGGGATGATTTTTAGGATTCTCAAGAAGAATTACTAAATGGCAAGGATTATTTTATTTTATACACGATCCAAGTCGTGGAAAAATATAAATTAGTAACGTTACTGAAAAGAGACTGGAGAGATAATTGGAAGAACGTTACGGTTCTTGCTAGAGGAAATTTTATTTAATTCGTGATGAAAATTATACAGATATTCTTATATAAACTTGTAATAAATACAAGCTGCGAAGATATAAATTAGAAATACTAGTCGGTCGCAACTCGAAGAGAGAGTTCTAAAGGGAACGAGAAAGGGAGAAAGAAATGAGGAGATGAAAAGTTTTTATTGCGCGTCAATACAATTTGAAAGAATTCTTACAAAGAGAACGATCCAAATTGATGATCAAAATTGATGTTGTAGGGATCATTATATTGAAAAGTTACGTGGGACAAAGTTGTGAAAAATATAAATTAGAAATCGATAACCGAAAGTCGAGAAAGTCGATTTACCCCCAATTTAGAAAGGCAACGGGGTTCCATGAATTCCGCGGATGGCACGCACGGACGAACTTTTCAAAGATTATCGATATTTTCATATCGGCGCGGTAAAGAAGCATCTCCAGCCGCCTCTCATCACAAACCTGAAATATCGCTCCTCCGCCACCTGGAGGATCGAAGAAATTCCGTATACGTTCCCCAGAACCTTCGAAACTTTTCTTTACCAGCCGCCCATAAAACAGACCTTATACGTGCCCGAGACTTCGAATGTATTCCACGGCCCCTTTCACCCCCCGACTTTCGATCCGCAAAAAAGTAAAAAAGTAATAAACGTGAGAAAGTCGATATAATGATTTTTGAATATAATAATGTAATATGTAACAAAGAAAATTCGTGCGTGATAAAGTGACATCATCGACGTAGGAAATGTTAAAATTTTCTTGCCAGGGGAAGTTAAATTATAAACATATCGTGAAATTTATATTAACACGGCATCAAAGAGGATTCTTTAATAACGAATGTTAATCTTTGACAGGTAAACAGTTGTAAAAGGAACAAAATGAAACAAAATGAAACAAAATGAAAAATAGGTGTGCACATTGATTACGACACGTGAAGTAGAAAAGTGCAAAAGGAAAGGACTGGATACGTAAAAAGCTCCCTTTCATCTTTTTTGGAAAAGTTTCATGGCGCATACGTTCACGTCATCCGTGTTGAACGTATCAATCCGATATCTTTTTCCTCCCTCCTTTCATTTCTGAACTTTTTTATTGAAATTTCCCAACACACAACTCGCAACGCACACGTTTCAGGTTTCGCGATGAAAGAGGACGGTAACCAAAGGTTAGAGAGCTCGACTCAGGGTGGGGAGGCTTAGTTTCATCCGGAAAGAAAAGAATTAACGGCCGAGGTTGGACCGGATGGATCGACCTCGGTGAAAACGCTGTAACCGTTGGAATGGTTGTTTGAAAATTTTAAAAGCTTCTTCTTCCACCCGCTGGTATACCCGGCTGCGTATACGTTTCTCTGTTTTGTTATTAATGAATCGATAAATACGCGAGGGTGGAAGAGGAACGGCATGATTCCGGGAGATTAATGTTGGATAAAACGGATGTAAACGTGTGCGCAAGGTTTTCGGGGGGATTCGTTGAGGTGGATGAAATTTTAGCGAGAGAACCTTCGATGTATTCGTAATGGAAAATAATTTTAAAGTGGAAGTGGAATCGAAACTAAACTTGGTCGAAAAGATATTGATCGGGTATTGGGAAAATTTATGAAATATTATTTTTAAACGTATTTTTATTACTTTATTATTAATTGAATAGTTTGCATACAATTGTGAGATTATTAACATCGATCGTTGTAAAGATGCTACGATAAGAAATTTTTAATTAATCGTAATTTTACGTGAACTTTATTCTTTCGTTGTAACTACGTATTCTAAAAGGAATATTATCTCTGTATCTTACAATATCGAGTCACACTCGTGGTGGAAATTACAGTTTCGATTCCATAAGGGGGAGATGTATTCATAAGAAAGTTTAGTTTTCAACTAAACTCTAACTTGAGTTTCAATTTGTGGGACTGGGAATTATTAACACTATACCCGTTAAAATGGCGAATTTCGGAATTTCTTTGTTATTCTCTATTAAAACTTAAAAGCGAACAAAACATTTTTAGACGTTATTAATTAATTTTAATAATCAAGGATTTCGAGGATAGAATTACTTTCGAGGCAAAAACTATCCATTAAAAATTAATAACATTAAATACTTTATGTACATAATTTGTATTGATTTCCACATTATTACCTTAATTACAATCATCGTGTAGTATAATTACGTACATACACGTTACAGATTGTTCCACTGTTAAAAACAAATTACATATGCAATGTATCATTATTATTAATTTTCATATTATTATCTCAATGACGATGGTCATTTAAATACAACCAATTTACAAACCAG